GCAATCCATTTTCGTCCAGCATCCTTAATTCTTGAGTTTCAATTCTCATATGTGGTCACGTTAATGTTTAATCAAAGTTCATGAGTCAGCATTTTAATAAAAATGAGTCATAGTAGGAAATTTGAAATTTGAACTAGTATGCACCATGTTTGAAATTGTGATCATAGGCAGTTTACGTGGGTCATGAAATCTGAAATCAGTTGCTTTCCAACTCATGTTTAATGTTGCATTGAATTTATTTTACTGGCTAGTTAATTTTAGTAGTAGATTCATCAGATTTGTGTTCTTAATTAAATTGAAATTCCATTTAGTGTAAAAGACAGGGCTTAACAGGCTAGTCCCTAAACGTTTGGGCCTCAGGATAATTGATGCACGACCCAGGCCAGTTTTGGCCCCTTTCTCATTTAGGCCTGGGCCAAGGTCTGTTTTGGCCGATTTTATGGTGTATATCTGGTTTTAAATTCCCTCTGCTGGGCTCACATCGGAGCCCAATGGTCGGATGTTGGTGCAAAAATATTACTTAGTTTGCATCAGTCCAGTAACAAATTAATTAGGGCCTTTCTTTTATTTTAGAGACAAATTAAGTAGAAAACTATAGATTGCTCTAGGTTTGCACTTTAAAATAATAAAACGGGATGAGCCTCGCTAAACAAAACACATAAATTGCGGGGCCCTCGATAATTGTATATATTAAAATACTTAGATTTCGGGACGGGCCGTTTAGCGAATTTCACGGCCTTCCCCAAAATAATAACGCGTTAGTCTCTTTAGGCGCGTATTTTAATAACATTACCTCCCTAAACTCGGGTGCGCATTTATGTGACCCAAATCCAAATCCCAACGATGTTAAAGTATGTCCAAAAACCACGGGTGCATTTATGTGACGTGGTTCAAGACTTGTTTTAATGACGTTGCAATTTTCTTTAAAAATGAATAAAAGCGGTTAAGGTTAAAATTTGCACATAGGTTCATAATTGTTAAAATCAGATAATTTAAGCCAAATATAACAGTTAAGCGACCGTGCTAGAACCACGGAACTCGGGAATGCCTAACGCCTTCACCCGGGTTAACAGAATTCCTTACTCAGATTTCTAGTTCGCGGACTGTAATACAGAGTCAATCTTTTCCTCGATTCGGGATTCAACCAGTGACTTGGGACACCATAAATCTCCCAAGTGGCGACTCTAAATCTTTAATAATAGATCCCGTTTCGATTGTCCTTTAATTGGAAAAATTCTCATATGCCCTTGCGGGTGTAGGTAAAAAGGAGGTGTGACAGACGCAGCGCATTATCTTTGGAATCACAAGCCTATTGTGATATAGTAAAAGACCCTCCTGAAATACAAAATTGGGAAGGGAAGTGGGATCTTCAATAAGCTGTTGTTGGAGACGGAGTAGATCAGGATCAGAAGTATTCAGTTGCCTCAATTTCTCAATCAGTGCAAACCAAATAACAACCATCGTGAGAGATTGTAAAGCGAGCACACGTGAGAGAGCATCTACAATAGAATTAAGTTTTCCAGGATGATATATTATGTCAAAATCATAGCCTATAAGATTGCTTAGCTGACGTTGCTGCTCGGGGTTTTGAATAACCTGATTGGTAAGAGCTCGAAGAGGCTACTGATTAGTGATGATTAAAAACTTACGACCCAACAAATATTACTGCCATTTCTGGACTGCCTGAGTGATGGCAAACATTTCACGATGGTATGTCGAGGCAACTTGCATCCTTGGAGAAAGTTTTTGGCTAAAGAAATCTATAGGATGGCCATTTGTGAGAGAACAGCACCAATTCCACAACCGGATGCATCAGTTTCCACAGAGAAAGCTTTGGTAAAGTTGGGAAGCCAAAGAACAGGGACTGTGCTTAAAGCATGCTTCTATTGCAAGAAAGCTTTAGATTCCAAGTCGGACCATTTGAAAGCATCCTTCTTTAAAATATCAGTTAATAGGGAAGCCAATTGAGCATAGCTTTTGACAAAGCGGCGATAATATCCCGTGAGCCCCAAGAAATCTCGCACATCTTTGACCGAAGAAGGAGGAGGCGAGGATTCAATGGCCTGAATTTTGGCAGAATCAACCTGTAAGCCCTTGGAAGAAATTATATGGCCGAGGTAGTCAATGGAAGTTTGTCCAAATTGGCATTTGGAACATTTGACAACAAGTGAGTTCTGGCGGAGAAGGTCAAAAACTTGGGACAAATGATCAAGGTGGTCTGGCCAAGAGTGACCATAGACCAAAATATCATCGAAGAAAACTAGGACAAAATGACGAAGGAAGGGCTTAAAAATAGAGTTCATGGTGGCCTAAAAAGTAGAGCGGGCATTGGATAGGCCGAACGGCATGACGATGAACTCATAGTGACCTTCTTATGTCCAAACAGCAGTTTTCTCGATATCAGCAGGGTGTACACGGATTTGGTGATATCCTAGCAACAAATCCAACTTAGAAAAGAAGCAAGCACTCAGTAACTCATCAAAAAGTTCATCAATTGTAGTAATTGGAAAGAGATATTTGATAGTAATAGAGTTCAAATCCCGGTAATCAACACAAAAGCGTCATGTACCATCCTTCTTCTGAACTAAAAGAACAGGGGAAGAGTATGGGCTCAAGCTAGGGCGTATAATGCCCGATTGCAGCATTTCAAAAACTAATTTCTCAATTTTAGATTTTTGTAAATGAGGGTAATGGTATGGTCGAACGTTAATAGGGGTGGAGCCAGGAATTAAAGAATACGGTAATCTTGTAGATGGATAGGTGGGAGAGCTGAGGCTTTAGCAAAAATATCAGAAAAAGAGTCAAGAACAGTAGAAAGATCTGATGGATGATCTGATACAGGATGTGGTGTTATGGGAAGACGTTCAAGGTGAAAGAAGCAGGCAATGGATTCAGTTTCAGAAAGACGGCACAATGAAGATAATTGGACTTGCTTTAAAGGTGGGTCAGAACCTGTCCAAACAATTACTCGATTTTTGGCCTCAAATTGAAATGTGTGTTTGGCATAGTCTGTTACTGTTGAACCCAAGGTAGCTAACCAAATAATACCCAAAACTAGATCCGACCCATAGAAATCTATAACAAAGAAATCTTTGGCAAATGAAAACCCTTGAACACTGTGGGACAAGTGACGAATCACACATTGACATAGAAATACGAAGGTGAATGAAATTATAAGTGCTACCTCTATGGATAAACACTTGAACATCAACCCCTTTGAGTTGGCCAGCAAAACGTAGTGAAGCAGGAGTCGAGCCTCATAACAAAGCCAGATAGCTAATAGTGGGAACCATGATATCATCGGGTGGAGCTTGGGGAGTCACAACCACTTATGGTGTATTAGAGGGTGTATCAAAGGACTCTGAAGGAAGGTCATCAATCGTGGAGTCATCATCAGCCAAAAGTAGTAAAGGTTGTGGTGTAGAAGAACATTTGTGGTTTCTGTGCCATTTAGCATCAAAATTAAAGCCAAAATTAGTAAACACTTGAACATCAACCCCTTTGAGTTGGCCAGCAAAACGTAGTGAAGCAGGAATCGAGCCTTATAGCAAATCTATATAGCTAATGGTGGGAACCGTGATATCATTGGATGGAGCTTGGGGAGTCACAACCACTGATGGTGTATTAGAGGGTGTATCAAAGGACTCTGAAGGAAGGTCCTCAATCGTGGAGTCATCATCAGCAAAAAGTAGTAAAAGTTGTGATGTAGAAGAATATTTGTGGTTTCTGTGCCATTTAGCATCAAAATTAAAGCCAAAAGTAGTAAACATTTGAACATCAACCCCTTTGAGTTGGCCAGCAAAAAGTAGTGAACCAGGAGTCGAGCCTCATAACAAAGCTAGATAGCTAATAGTGGGAACCGTGATATCATCGGGTGGAGCTTAGGGAGTCACAACCACTTATGGTGTATTAGAGGGTGTATCAAAGGACTCTGAAGGAAGGTCCTCAATCGTGGAGTCATCATCAGCCAAAAGTAGTAAAAGTTGTGGTGTAGAAGAACATTTGTGGTTTCTGTGCCATTTAGCATCAAAATTAAAGCCAAAAGTAGTAAACACTTGAACATCAACCCCTTTGAGTTGGCCAGCAAAACGTAGTGAAGCAGGAGTCGAGCCTCATAACAAAGCTAGATAGCTAATAGTGGGAACCGTGATATCATCGGGTGGAGCTTGGGGAGTCACAACCACTTATGGTGTATTAGAGGGTGTATCAAAGGACTCTGAAGGAAGGTCCTCAATCGTGGAGTCATCATCAGCCAAAAGTAGTAAAAGTTGTGGTGTAGAAGAACATTTGTGGTTTCTGTGCCATTTAGCATCAAAATTAAAGCCAAAAGTAGTAAACACTTGAACATCAACCCCTTTGAGTTGGCCAGCAAAACATAGTGAAGCAGGAGTCGAGCCTCATAACAAAGCTAGATAGCTAATAGTGGGAACCGTGATATCATCGGGTGGAGCTTAGGGAGTCACAACCACTTATGGTGTATTAGAGGGTGTATCAAAGGACTCTGAAGGAAGGTCATCAATCGTGGAGTCATCATCAGCCAAAAGTAGTAAAAGTTGTGGTATAGAAGAACATTTGTGGTTTCTGTGCCATTTAGCATCAAAATTAAAGCCAAAAGTAGTAATCACTTGAAAATCAACCCCTTTGAGTTGGCCAGCAAAATGTAGTGAAGCGGGAGTCGAGCCTCATAACAAATCTAGATAGCTAATAGTGGGAACTGTGATATCATCGGGTGGAGCTTGGGGAGTCACAACCACTTATGGTGTATTAGAGGGTGTATCAAAGGACTCTGAAGGAAGGTCCTCAATCGTGGAGTCATCATCAGTCAAAAGTAGTAAAAATTGTGGTGTAGAAGAACATTTGTGGTTTCTATGCCATTTAGCATCAAAATTAAAGCCAAAAGTAGTAAACACTTGAACAACAACCCCTTTGAGTTGGCCAGCAAAACGTAGTGAAGCATTAGTCGAGCCTCGTAACAAAGCTAGATAGCTAATAGTGGGAATCGTGATATCATCGGGTGGAGCTTGGGAGTCACAACCACTTATGGTGTATTAGAGGGTGTATCAAAGGACTCTGAAGGAAGGTCCTCAATCGTGGAGTCATCATCAGCCAAAAGTAGTAAAAGTTGTGGTGTAGAAGAACATTTGTGGTTTCTGTGCCATTTAGCATCAAAATTAAAGCCAAAAGTAGTAAACACTTGAACATCAACCCCTTTGAGTTGGCCAGCAAAACGTAGTAAAGCAGGAGTCGAGCCTCATAACAAAGCTAGAGAGCTAATAGTGGGAACCGTGATATCATAGGGTGGAGCTTGGGGAGTCACAACCACTTATGGTGTATTAGAGGGTTTAACAAAGGACTCTAAAGGAAGGTCCTCAATCGTGGAGTCATCATCAGCCAAAAGTAGTAAAAGTTGTGGTGTAGAAGAACATTTGTGGTTTCTGTGCCATTTAGCATCAAAATTAAAGCCAAAAGTAGTAAACACTTGAACATCAACCCCTTTGAGTTGGCCATTAAAACGTAGTGAAGAAGGAGTCGAGCCTCATAACAAAGATAGAAAGCTAATTGTGGGAACCGTGATATCATCGGGTGGAGCTTGGGGAGTCACAACCACTTATAGTGTATTAGAGGGTGTATCAAAGGACTCTGAATGAAGGTCCTCAATCATGGAGGCATCATCAGCCAAAAGTAGTAAAAGTTGTGGTGTAGAAGAACATTTATGGTTTCTGTACCATTGAGCATCAAAATAAAAGACAAAAGTAGTAGACACTTGAACATCAACCCCTTTAAGTTGGCCAACAAAACATAGTGAAGCAGGAGTCGAGCCTCATAACAAAGCTAGATAGCTAATAGTGGGAACCGTGATATCATCGGGTGGAGCTTGGGGAGTCACAACCACTTATGGTGTATTAGAGAGTGTATCAAAGGACTCTGAATGAAGGTCCTCAATCATGGAGGCATCATCAGCCAAAAGTAGTAAAAGTTGTGGTGTCGAAGAACATTTGTGGTTTCTGTGCCATTTAGCATCAAAATTAAAGCCAAAAGTAGTAAACACTTGAACATCAACCCCTTTGAGTTGGCCAGCAAAACATAGTGAAGCAGGAGTCGAGCCTCATAACAAAGCTAGATAGCTAATAGTGGGAACCGTGATATCATCGGGTGGAGCTTGGGGAGTCACAACCACTTATGGTGTATTAGAGAGTGTATCAAAGGACTCTGAATGAAGGTCCTCAATCATGGAGGCATCATCAGCCAAAAGTAGTAAACACTTGAACATCAACCCCTTTGAGTTGGCCAGCAAAACATAGTGAAGCAAGTGTCGAGCGTCATAACAAAGCTAGATAGCTAATAGTGGGAACCGTGATATCATCGGGTGGAGCTTGGGGAGTCACAACCACTTATGGTGTATTAGAGGGTGTATCAAAGGACTCTGAAGGAAGGTTCTCAACCGTGGAGGCATCATCAGCCAAAAGTAATAAAAGTTGTGGTGTAGAAGAACATTTGTGGTTTCAGTGCCATTTAGCATCAAAATTAAAGCCAAAAGTAGTAAACACTTGAAGATCAACCCCTTTGAGTTGGCCTGCAAAACATAGTGAAGCAAGTGTCGAGCGTCATAACAAAGCTAGATAGCTAATAGTGGGAACCGTGATATCATCGGGTGGAGCTTGGGGAGTCACAACCACTTATGGTGTATTAGAGGGTGTATCAAAGGACTCTGAATGAAGGTCCTCAATCATGGAGGCATCATCAGCCAAAAGTAGTAAAAGTTGTGGTGTAGAAGAACATTTATGGTTTCTGTGCCATTGAGCATCAAAATTAAAGCCAAAAGTAGTAAACACTTGAACATTAACCCTTTTGAGTTGGCCTGCAAAACATAGTGAAGCAGGAGTCGAGCCTCATAACAAAGCTAGAGAGCTAATAGTGGGAACCGTGATATCATCGGGTGTTGCTTGGGGAGTCACAACCACTTATGGTGTATTAGAGGGTTTAACAAAGGACTCTAAAGGAAGGTCCTCAATCGTGGAGTAATCATCAGCCAAAAGTAGTAAAAGTTGTGGTGTAGAAGAACATTTGTGGTTTCTGTGCCATTTAGTATCAAAATTAAAGCCAAAAGTAGTAAACACTTGAACATCAAACCCTTTGAGTTGGCCAGCAAATTGTATTGAAGCAGGAGTCGAGCCTCATAACAAAGATAGATAGCTAATTGTGGGAACCGTGATATCATCGGGTGGAGCTTGGGGAGTCACAACCACTTATGGTGTATTAGAGGGTGTATCAAAGGACTCTGAATGAAGGTCCTCAATCATGG